TGAACTCAACACAGTTTTCACTTTTATTTCTGACTAAATAAAGTTCTGGCAGCACCACATGAGACAGACCAGGAATCGAAACAGACGTTTGCTTCGTGTGAATAAGTGGCTAAAAAGAGTTAAAGTGCATCATGAGTTTTGTGTTTTATTCCAGGATAATGAAGTCGTAGAGTCACTCCCTTTTTCCACATGAACATTTGATGTTCATTTTCCAAAAGACTTTCTGAGCAATTCTAATATGAAGAGTTTAAAGGCACGACACTAAAAATCCACCATTATTTTAGTCCAAATAAAACCTAACACTTTCAGATGTTCTATTCTCTAGACTTAGACAAACTTTATTGATCCACAAGGGAAATTATTTGAACACAAGAGCTCAAACACCACAAGATAATATAATAGTAGCAGAAGTAAACAACAAGGCCAAAAATTCAAGTTAATGCATCTGATATAAAAATGTATTGAACAGATACATATGTACTCTAGTTTATGAAACTGTTGACCTTTTTTCTGTACCATTTTTGGTTCTAAAGTTCCATACGTTTTAAACAGACCATGTATGAAACATGGAACAAAAATTATTTCCCAAATTTCAAAGACCTGCAAATCATGTCAATAAATGGATGTATTTCATCATATCTTGTGTTATTCCATCTTTGAACTGTTGATGAAGATACATGATTTAAAAAAAAAAAATTTATTTAAAATGATAAAAATTAGCTTGGAAGGACTGACATATTTTATAGAAATAGTTTCCTTTCATTTTGAAGTAATATTAAAGTATTCAGATGAAAAAAGCGACAAATGATGTAAAATCCTGCACCTTCTACTTGTTTGTACAATTTTCCCTCCGTTACTTTTCCCTCCGTTACCATGACCTTTCTTAATAAAAAATCTCATGAGTCAAAAAGTAAGAGGTTTTTCAACCTAATCTTGTACCATATGGTAGAAAACTATATGAAGCAAATATTCAAACCAGTTTGTTAAGGATATGTAAGTGAGAACCAAGAGTTATCACTGTTTGGATTTATTGACCAAAAAGTGCTGCATATTTCATTCCCTCCGTTACCAACATGAGTTTTATTTTTTGTCAACAACTTGAAAGAATCTCACAGGTTTAACTTGACCCTGTTGGAGTGTAACTCTTTCCTACATTCTGATACTTTACTTATTTCAATATTTCCCTCTAGTTTCTGAATAAGAACTATTTCAATGTAAAAAAATCTGCCCGTTTCCCTCCGTTACCGCTGGACCCAATAACAAAAGTAAAAAATATAAATGGTAATAATAAATTCTAAACAAGTAGCAAAAAAAGTAAATGTACAGTAAAAATAAAATATAAAATCAGACCTGGGCGTTATTCAGCTCCAGCTTTCATTGACTCTGACCGGCCCGTTTAAGATAATTTAGAATTACAAAATGAACATATTTTATCATTTTACCTCATGCCTGGACTAAAGATGCATTGATTTTATATTAGAGGTGTGTGTTTTTTTTTTTTTTTTTAATGACAGTTTTTGTTTGGCAGCCTCACTTTTTCGTTGCTTAGTAGAGCTTCTCGATTATGGAAAAATCACAATTATTTTGGTCAATATTGAAATCACGATTATTCAAACGATTATTTTTTAGTTACACAATGGATTTATTCAGCATTTCTCTCTCTCTCAAAAAACCCAAAACAAAACACTTTGTTACTGATAATTTACGCAAAACTTTCAAACTGACAATAAATAACTTCTACGAATATGAACCTCAGAGCAGTTTTGTGATGTATAAAACACATATAAGGCCAAAATAAACTATATATCTAACTGTTCTACAATCTCTATTTTTAAACAATAAAATATACTTGTTTATATTAAAAATATTCCAAAATAAACTTTGTTTATTTAATCGTTTCAACTCGATTCTATGAGTTTGGAGATCGTCACAAATCACGCAAATTGAAATCATGATCAAAATTCAATTAATTGCACAGACTTATTGCTTAGTCAGAACATAAACTCTTCCCCATGACATTTTCAATTTCCATTTCCCTGTAAACCGTGTCCAAACAAAACCCTCTGACCCGGTTTTACTTCCTGCTGAAACGGCCCAAATGACCAAAAGCAGCACTTCTTAACTCCAAATCTTTAAAACGTTCTGCTATCAAACTTGGCAGTGACATCGCGCTGGGGGTGTTCTGCATGTATGTCTATGGTGGAATGTTGACACAATGCATACGTAAGCAAATCAGTTCACCTGTTGTAGTTCCAGCTAAAGGCCTATTCGCACGGGACGAGAACAACCTGGGAACGTCTGGTCATTTGCAAATTCACTTCTGTGTTTCTTGCGGCCCATTTGCACGGGATAAACAAAGTCCGTAAATGACTATTTTGTTGACACAGAGATGGAAAGAGAAAAGAACGCGGAAAGAAAAGAAAGAGGTCGTCGTTTTTTGGCAAAATATAGAAGGTGATTTAGCGGCGGAATTTTTACTTTACAAATTACAAACAGGGGATTAAGATCTCAGGCGTCGTCCTCCGCAATTATTACAAATCAGCAGAGGTCCACAGGTCAGACTAATCCAGTGCGAATACGGCTTTAGTCACGTCTTTATGGTCGGATTGTGATAGAACAAAGCTCAGAGTAAAGTCTAACTTGAGTAAGAGAGCTGCAGACGGAGCCGTGCCCGCAGGAGTGAGCTGCACAGGACCACAGAATGTTGAAAGGTGGAGAAAAACATCAGTGAGGTGAACTAAAACATTGCAGTGATTGAGACTCAACATAAACGTTTGCACCTGTGGCCCTGAGTGAAACAGGCTGGACTCGCTTCATCTAAACACCTGAACACTTCACACTTTTATTACCGTGTCAGTCAAACAGAGCTTCAGATTTGAGAGCAGGTAACAGTCAGTCCTGTTTCCAAACGGCACGGCGAGCAGTCACTGTTGAGCTCTACGAGGCCTACATTTTTACACAGTACTGACATTTTAGCCAGGCTGGCACCACCTAGGGCTTCCACTCGATGTCATTTCTCTCCAGCGACAAGGTCAGGAATAGGGATGGGCATGATTAGTTGATTTATCGATAATTGATCATTAAGAATTTCATCGATTACGTTCATTTTTAATCGACAAACCGAATGTAGGTTGCTGTGCGTAGCGTAGAGAGACCAAACGTCCAGGTCCGGGGACAAACTGGGGTCTGTACATGTGTCTCTGCACTCAGAAGGAACAGTCAGTCAGTCTGCAACATGCCGAAGAACAAATGCACATTTGACGATGACTTGTACAAGAAATTCCACGCTTTCTGTTCTGGTCGGGACAAGTGTGAGTCCATGTGCACAGTGCACAAAGCAGCACATGAGTTTCGGTGTCCAGAGGGAAAAAGCTCACCAGGAGACAGAAAACATTAAAAAGTTTTACCAGGTGAGAGTCGCTCAATGTCGACGACGAGGCCCCACCTCCCTCCCCCCGTACGGTGTCCTGGTTTTAACAAACGCAAATATGTTCACACTAACCTGTATTCACCTGAGTCATGTCCTTTAATCCGACAGAAGTTGAACCGTTTATGCAAATGAGTCATGTGGTTTTAAGTTTTATTTCTGTGAGAGTTGCACAAATCTGCATTAAACACATTATAATGTCAAACGGGCTGATGTGGCTCTAGAGTCGTTACGGTTTATATGTCATAAAGTTGAATTTATTTATGCAGATTAGTGCAGATAGTAATAATAATGATGATCATTTTAATATAAAAACGTTCATGATTAATCGGTAATCGATCTTTAATTCTCCCGACGATTGGTTAAGAAAATTTAATCGAATACCCATCCCTAGTCAGGAACAAGCCCCGGGGTTTCAAAATGGCTGCCCATTCAAGTCAATGGGCCGAGCTCAATGTCTCGTGATTCCAGATTCGTCTTTAGCCCGGCGAGGTTCTTCTGGTGTGTGTGGGCCGACCGAGCATGTGCAGTAGAGTCTTTTCTCCAGCGGGAACACACAAATGCACACGAGCGCACACAAGACACGTGGGCTCGTGTATCATGTGATCACTTTGACCAATCAGAGCGAGAGGAGCTAGAGCAGACCCGGAGCGAACGATTATAACGCGTGTTTTAAGACAACTGAAGGATTTTGAGCTGAGAAAAAGTTTATGATCTAAAAATAAGTAAAAATTGCCCACAAATGCAACATTTTTGAAAGTTATAGGTCCCTGTCAGCTGAACACGACCAGTTTGTGATTATATTGCTTCTATGAGAAAATTCTTCTCTCGGCCCATGGGACTTTTGCCGCTGAAGTACCAGTGACACTACAACAACTGGAGGCAGATACAAGCAGCAACACCTCCAGTTATTTTAATAGATCCATGGTCAGGAATCAGAATCCACTCGACGGTTCGCAAAAACCCCAGAAGTGCGAGTTCGGTCACCAGCCAATCAGAGAAGAGACAAACATTCAGTGTTGCCAACGATTCCCGAGATCGAGGATTTAAAGCCGGAACAAAGAGAATGTTTGGTGAATTTTATCAAGGGGAAAGACGTTATTGTCCTTCTTCCTACAGGCTTTGGGGCATTACATACGACACAACCAAACAGCGGCGATTAGTTAAATAAAAAAAAGTACCTGCCTACTGTCGAGTGAACGAATCCTAACGCTGCGAGGTCACACTTTTGTAAAGACAATACAGTAAAGTACAAGTGTATTTACCTTGTTGACATGTTTCGGCTGCTCGCTGCAAGGTAAATACACGAAAAGAACCCAAGAAGTTAAAGTACGTAAGAAGACAAAATGAACATCGTTGGTTTAGTGCAGTGTAAATGTTTATACCAGATTGACATTGCGTACGTTCACAGTGTCCCAGACCTTTTTTGCTGCCTGAATTTCAAAACTTTTCCATGACTTTTTCATGACCTAAAGTGAATTTTCCATGACTTTACAACACCTAAATGTCGACCATGACCGTGTGAACTCTGACTCGGTGTTTCGTGTTGAAAGGTGAGGTCGGCTGCATTTACCTTGGTCATATCTTGAGGATCAGGGACCACGAACATGCCCGGAGGCGGCTCCTTGTAGATGGACATGATATCCCTGCACACAAAGAACACACGGAACACACAGGTTAATATTCAAACACACAGCACCGCGACAAACTAGGCGAGCGTATTAAAGCTGCACTGTGGAACTTTTCTGGTAAGGTTTGATAAGGAGATGATACGTCTTTGTCTGGAGCGCAGCCAGATGGAGTATGGGGACGCTTCTGGCTCCATCAACTCTGGCTCCAGTTCACGTTACATTTAGGCTCCGTTCAGACTGAAGGGCTTAACGCTCAATTCCGATTTTTTGTGAAATCCGATGTTTTTGCGAGGTCGTTCACATTTCCAATTAAATGCGTCTTGTGTGTGACTCCAGTGTGAACATTAAACGCCCTGAAAGTGTCCCGCATGTGACACTGGAGACACGACGACGTCAACCGCAGCGAGCGTCTCTGTGTTTACGGAAGTTGTCCAAACATGGACACAGCATCGAGCACCTGGAGATTTTAAAGTTCCTCTCGTACCAGAGCCAGAACATGAACAACTTACTTGTTTTAAGGAGGAGATTGAGAAGGAGAAGGACGAGGTTTTTTGGCCGTGGTGTTTTGTGGGACAGCGGCGGCGACGTTTGTTGAAAGGAACGTGTGGATGTGGAGACGGAGCCAAGAGTGGTGATGTGCTTCACTTCAGTGACATGGAGATCATTAACAATTTTCGCCTACTTCAGCGCAGAATAGTGACGTTTGTGTCTTGTTGATAACGTGTAGGTCGAATGAATGAGCTTTGGCCGTTCAGACTGAAGTCGCATGTCAAAAGATCAGATATGTATCAGTTTCAGGAGCACATATCCAAGTGTCCTGGGTCACATTTGAAAAAATCGGATCTGTGTCATTCAGACTGTCATTAAAAGATCAGATACAGGAACATAGAGGCCAAAAAATCGGATTTGGGTCACTTCAGGCTGCAGTCTGAACGCAGCCTTAGAAACAGTTGCCCGTCTCTCTATTTGCTGCTGTGAGCCTCGGCATTTTAGTCTTAAAATGTTCTTATATTAACCCGCTCTAAATGATCTGTTTTTTTTTTTATTTTGCTATTTACGTTTTGTCCCGACAGTTCCTCTTTAAAAAGCCATTAAACAGCCTCCCGAAGCTTTTCTCCACCTCTAAGCAAAATCTGAAAAATCTGAAAAATCCCCAAGAGTGGGCAGTGCCTGAGGGGCTGGGTGTGGGCTCTGGAGCGATGGACGACAGCCGACCGACAGCCACAACAATCCAACACGACGCGGATCGGTGCGCCCGGACTTTGAAACGGAGCGGACATTTGCGCTCGGATCACGCAGTTTCCATTTTCTCTAGACGCGGCGGGAGATGACAGTGCCAGGTCGGGGCTGAGAGGGGCTCCTCGCGTCTCGCCCGTAGACGCCAGTGTCCGCGCTCGTCACGTAATAACCTGAATCCGAGTCGTTGGCGCTGTTAGTCCAACCCGAAAATCTAAAAGTACTGGCTGTTGCTGATCCTAAAGACGCCGATACAGACACGACTTTTAACAAATATGCACTAAAATGCCAAAATAAAGCCAGAGATAGTAGGTAGGGGTGTGCAAAAATATCGGAATATCGATATATCGTATCGTTTAATGTGATGATACAGTATTGATATCGTGGGCTACTGTATCGATATATCACCAAGAGTATTTTTAGGTGTGTTTTACTAAATTATTTTGTTACAGTGCTACAGTTTTGTTGCTTGTGGAGTGAAAGGAAACTCATTTATTCAACACATTTGATATTTTTACTGTTTTGATGATAAAAATGTTTGTTTTTCATATGAACTTTGCATAAGAAGTGGTTTAACAAAGACTTTTAGTGTCACAGCCACGATTTAGCCTTTATTTTTTATTGAACTGTATAGAATCGATTTGAAATATATCATATCGAATCGAAAGTGCACTGTATCGTGATATGTATCGTAGCGTGGCCTGTGTATTGAGGTATGCATCGTATCGGCAAATTCTTAATGATACCCAGCCCTAATAGTAGGGTGCATCATTTGCCCCAATGTTATAAATTGAACCTGTACCCAATTTTAAAATGTGACAAAACCAACTAATAGAAAATCTGTGGAATATTTGCTCAATTGAATAAAATCTACTGGGTCCAACAAGCCTCTCAAGTTTCATCCTAACAGTGTCCATAAGATTTTTACATTTAAGACCTTTTTGTGACCACTTAAATGAAAATTAAGACCAACATCGCACCTATAGAGCTCCAATTCCAATAATGACCATAACAAAACATCCTTTTATTAAAAAAATCGCACTCAGAACTCATTTATAGTCGAATTCATTGCTTGTAAAATGGCCAAAAAATAATTTATTTATGGAGCCAGGCCGAATTTATTTACGTACAAGGCCTTGTTTTTCCCACAGGTGAACGCTGGGGCGATTTCTGAGTCCGTGAACGTTGCTTTGAACAGTTCATGTTTATGTTTATGCCTTCATTCGATTTGTAAGAATGGTCAGTAATTGTTTTTAAAGCACTGCAGCCCCGCTCGAGTGAACAAAAATAATAGGCTAATGAAACTTAAGACCTTTGTGGAAAAAAAAAAAAAAAGACTTGGGCAACATAATTTAAGACTTTTTAAGGGATTAATTTAGGAACATGAAATTGAAGATCTTTTTGAGACATTTAAGACCCCACGGCTGCCGTTATTTAAGGTCCTCGAAGTCCCAAAGAAATGACAGTTTTGCCATATCTCAGAAACTAATAACGATGGAGACATAAAACTGATAACAAAAGATCCGCAATGTTCATATTTATATTAAACTTCCATTGATACTATTGGGTTAAATTAATTATTTGTGATGTTATTAATGAAAAACACAGCTCAGATTTAACGCAGATAAAGCTGGGCAAATGATGCACCCTTAGAGACAGGTGTACATTTCTATTTTTGACCAATTTACACAGATAATCAGAAGAAAAAAGATTTAGATTTTGGTGTTAGTGGTGTTTAAAGTTACTCCTACTTGTGTGTTACTTTTCCCAAATACTTTTTACCCTTCTACTGCACTTCTGCTTACTTTAGTGATATTATTTTGAAGCAAAACGTATTTTTGCTACTCTCTCCGGCTCTGATCAGGCCTGCGCCGAGCCGAGCCGAGCCAGAGCTTCGAACAAAGAGCAGTGTTTGTGTGGAATGTTGAGTTTCTGTTCTGCTCCGGAGGCCTTCACTTTCACTCCCCGCGCAAACGATGCAAAACCCAAAACGTGTCATACGAGCGTTACACGAGAACTTTAAAGTAGTGCGTAACTTTTTGGACTCCTCGTTACGTCGCCGCTCCGTCTGGAATGTTCCGCAGTGTGACGTTTTAACAGCTCTGCCAGTCACGGCTGCTTTTTACGGCGCAGAAATGCCTAGAAAATGAGGCGTTCTGGCTGCGAGCGGGGTCGCCTCTCCGCAGATCTGACCTCTAACTTGGCCCGGTTTCGTCTCCGTAAAGACAGAAAGGTTTAAAGCCATACTGCGGAACATTCCAGACCGAGAGATAACAAAGCGTTTGACGGAAAAGATACACAACGCTCTCTTAAAATGTCTGCGACTAACGATTATTTTAGTTAATACTTCCTCTTATTAGTCGATTAGTCAAATTTAAAGTATAATTTTAACCAACTAAAGTAAAATAATGACTGAAGGCTCCAAGTGGGGATGGTTATCAGTTATATCCGGTGTTGGGAAGGTGACTTTTAAAATGTAATCCCCTACAGATTACAGATTACATACCCCAAAATGTAGTTTGTAACGTAATCCAATAAATTACTAAAAGTGAGTAATGTAATCTGAATACTTTTGGATTACTTGATATTGTCGTGCTTTTTAAAACTGCATGAATGTAACAACCACATCCTGAAAATTCTTGTTTTTTTTCTTCAAATTGTCTGTTGAGCCCGAGTCTCCACGAACAGACTTTTGTTTTACTGTAGAGAAACAAAGACGAGGATCTGAACATAAGAAGTTTTGTTTTGTTTTGATAAAAGAAAATAAAAAAGCCCAGACTTTACTTAACCAAATTAAAACTATTATTGACAGGGAAATGTTTTCTGTATGAGATCACTGCTGCCTTAAATGATGTCCACCTACTGACAGTGTCATATTGTTTAGTCCTGGTTTTAGTCCTGGTTTTAGTCCTGGTTTTAGTCCTGGTTTTAGTCCTGGTTTTAGTCCTGGTTTTAGTCCTGGTTTTAGTCCTGGTTTTAGTCCTGGTTTTAGTCCTGTTTAGTCCTGGTTTTTAGTCCTAGTCCTGTTTTAGTCCTAGTTTTAGTCCTAGTTTTAGTCCTGGTTTGGTCCTAGTTTAGTCCTAGTTTTAGTCTTACTTTTAGTCCTGGTTTTAGTCCTGGTTTGGTCCTAGTTTAGTCCTAGTTTTAGTCTTACTTTTAGTCCTGATTTAGTCCTGGTTTTAGTCCTGGTTTAGTCCTAGTTTTAGTCTTACTTTTAGTCCTGATTTAGTCCTGGTTTTAGTCCTGGTTTTAGTCCTGGTTTTAGTCCTGTTTTAGTCCTGGTTTGGTCCTAGTTTGGTCCTAGTTTTAGTCCTACTTTTAGTCTTAGTCCTTTTAGTCTGGTTTTAGTCCTGGTTTGGTCCTAGTTTAGTCCTAGTTTGGTCCTAGTTTTAGTCTTACTTTTAGTCCTGGTTTTAGTCCTGGTTTTAGTCCTAGTTTTAGTCTTTAGTCTTTTTAGTCCTGATTTAGTCCTGGTTTTAGTCCTGGTTTTAGTCCTGGTTTTAGTCCTGGTTTTAGTCCTGGTTTTAGTCCTAGTTTTAGTCCTGGTTTGGTCCTAGTTTTGGTCCTAGTTTTAGTCTTACTTTTAGTCCTGGTTTTAGTCCTGGTTTGGTCCTAGTTTAGTCCTAGTTTTAGTCTTACTTTTAGTCCTGATATAGTCCTGGTTTTAGTCCTGGTTTAGCCCAAAATTGTGAAAACAGGAAATTACCACCATGTAATCCATTTATTTCAATTACCACTCACTGAAACAGTAACTGTAACTGAATACAGTTACTCATCATTTGTACTCTGATTACATAACTCTGGTACATGTAATCTGTTACTCCCCGACACTGGATATATCGGAGGATTTCCACAGATCTCGTATCTGTCCGATATTGTTGCAATGTTTTTCTGTTGAGTGAAAATTGTAATTGATTTTCCAGATAAATATATTTTGTTATTATTTAAGACACAGTGAAAAGTAGGGGTGTAACAGTAACTGAAATATCGTGATACTGAATCGTCAAAAGTTTCGAAATAATATCGTGGACCATCACAATATAAGTGCGAGTTCGGGCACCGGCCAATCAGCAAAGAGCCAGGCATTCTGTGTTGGCGACGATTCCCGAGGTCGAGGATTTAAAGCCGGAACAAAGAGAATGTTTGGTGAATTTTATTAAGGGGAAAGACGTTATTGTCCTTCTTCCTGCGGGATTTGGTGCATTACATACGTCACGACCAAACAGCAGCGATTGGTTAAATAAAAAAAGTGACCGCCTACCGTCAAGCGAATGAATCCTAATGCTGCGAGGTCACACGGTTTCCACAAAGTGAACCCAGCTGATGAATCAGGCTATTGTTATGGTGCAGCAAGAGCTAAAAAACAGAGGGAACTACATAGACCATGATCCTTTGCTCCGTGTTGGTGCAAACTACATGAAGAAATAACAGTTTTAAGCACTTTATGTCTTAGTTCTTCGATTTAAGACATTTTATGAGGAAAAAGTTGCATATTCACAGTTTTGTTTGCCTCCACAAAATATCACAATAAATATCGTACTGTGAGATTTGGATATCATTGTATCCATAGTGAAAATTTGTAAACTTCACTATAACTCAGACATGTCAAACTAATTTGGCCCGCGATATAATTATATTTGGTCCGTGAGATCAAATCAAATCTGTATTAGAGCTGCCACCGCACACAGATCGACTAGAGAGACATGATTTATTTAAAATGTTGTTATTATTTTATATTCTGTTTGTTCTGGATTCAATGTTTAAAGGTTGTATAGAGGATTTTTTTAAGGGAAGAGAAACACAGCGACAGTCCTTGTGCGTGTTCAGAATTACTGTTGAAGTTTCCTGTTTAGAAGTAATTCAGCGACCGACGCGTCAGTTTTTAGACCCTTCGTCTGCTTCGGTCGCACCATCGCTGGACGAGATCTACAAGAATCACCTCAGTTTGGCTTTGCTCCTTTTCCCCTTCTTTTCTTCTTTCAGCGACCTCAAAAACCGACTTTCTTTTCCGGTCGTGGATTCTCGTCCGCCGTCGCGACAAACTTTGTGAGAACTACGAGGAAGCGACAGTTCGAAAAAGCCTCTAAGAACCGCTGCGTAAACCACGTAATCCCCACGCTCCGACGAGTCAGTTACACTAGGGAGTTTGATTGACAACCCAACAGCCAATAGAAAATGAGGGAGCCTCGTTTTCTATTGGCTGATGTTTATCTGGCCTCAACACGTCCACAGTTGATAGATTTTCGTTCTTTTTTTTTTGGTCATCATAATTACAAAGCTGCTGCGTCTCTGTAATGGTATTTTAATCTTTCACTGACAGTTTGAAACAAAAAAAAAAAAAATCCTCCATACAACCTTTAAGCAAAACTATTATTAAACATTTATTTTAATAAGAAAAGCTTTAAACATTACATATCTCAAAAGAAGAGAAAAAAATGCAGATGTTGTTGAAATTTTTCAATAAATATTTAGTTTGACCCACGACTTAGTCCCAGTTTTTAATTTTGGCCGCTGTGAATTTGAGTTTGACTCTCCTGCTATTTTTATAGACTTTTCTCGTCCTTTTTTAAAGAGAGAAACGCTGAATAATGCATCGTGTAATTTTTTATTTAATACTTTTAATTGATTTCAATTATTGACCAATGTTAATTTTTTTTCCGTAATTGAGCAGCTCTAAAATTGTTAAACAAGTGCGTAATTAAGGAAAATTGTTATGCAGAGATCATTTATGACAAACAAGCGAGTCGGTCTAGCCACATTTTCTTTGTGTTTTGGTCGTCTTTAAGCAGGATTTTTTTGTATTTTACCTAAACAAACGACAATTTATGCCTCTTTTTACTGTTGTCAGGGATCAGATTAGTCAAAAAAAGGGACACCCGGCACATTTCTTGCATAAAACTGGGACAAATCAGTGGTTTTGTACAAATCTGCTGGGACAGGGGACACAGACTCAAAACTGGGACTGTCCCGGGTCAATACGGTCGTCTGGTCACACTAAATTAGTAATATTATTTTGTATTATTATTAGTAGGGCTGGTATCATTAAGAAGTTGCCGATATGATACAGACCTCGGTACAGTGAGCTTTCGATTCAATACGATTTGATACGATATATTTCAATTTGATTCGACACAGTTCAATAAAAAAGGCTAAATCGTGGCTGTGACACTAAAAATCTTTGCTAAACCACTTCTTGTGCAAAGTTCTTACGAAACACAAACATTTTAATCATCAAAACAGTGAAAAAGTCAAATGTGTCACGTAAACGAGTTTCCTTCGTCTGAACAAGCAACAAAACTGTAGCTCTGTAACAAAATAATTTAGTAAAATAAACCAAAAACTCCTCTTGTCGATATATCGATACAGCAGCCCACGATATTGATACTGTATCATCACATTAAACAATACAATATATAATATTCATATTTTCGATAGATACTCTTTACTGTTGTCAGGGATCAGATTAGTCAAAAATAAGGACATTTCTTGTATAAATTTCTTGGACAAATCAATGGTTTTGGATAAATCTGCTGGGACAGGAGACACAGGCTCAAAATGAGGACTGTCCTGGAAAAATAGGGACATCCAGTCACCTTAAATTAGTCATTTTATTTTGTATTATTAGTTATTATTACTACTGTTGGCGGGGATCAGATTAGTCAAAAATAGGGAGACTTGGGACATTAAAAATATCTCGGGCATTATGTCACCAGTGACCTCTCAGACGACAGAGACATGTATGCTCGTCCGTAAGTTCTCCATGTGCTCCAGTCATGTCAAAATCGCACTTTTTAAATGTTTCTGCTCATCTTTGGCGCAACTACAAGAAAAAGAGTTTGCGGAGTTTGACAGTGGCCTATGACGACTCTCTGAGAATATGACTGAAAGTGCCGGGGTTCTGTCGCGCCAGTGAAACATTTGTAAATTGTGGTGCGAGACCCTGTGTCGTCACGATCAGATGTTGTAATTTTTTCATTTACGCGTAGAGCCGTGAATCTGAGCAGTCGGGTCATTGAAGCTCTAGTGCGTCCTGTGAGGAGCTCTGTCGGATTCACCTCTGGGCTGTGGAGACACTGGCGCTCTTCTCTGTAAACGTTATAACGTGCACTGGATTTTACTTTTTTTCTTCTTACTATTTCCTTTTTAATACTACGAACCAGATATTACGTGTTCTTAATTAAGATTGAACTGACTGAATTGAATTTCTTGTATAAATTTCTTGGACTAGTCACTGGTTTTGGATAAATCTGCCAGGACAGGGGACACAGGCTCAGAACTGGGACTGTCCCGGGAAAATGGGGACATCTCGTCATCCTAAATTAGTATTATTATTATTAGTTATTATTACTACCGTTGCCAGGGATCAGATTAGTCAAAAATAGGGACATTTCACTGGTTTTGTATAAATATGCCGGAACAGGAGATACAGGGCTCAAAACTGGGACTGTCCCGGAAAAATAGAGACGTCCGGTCACACTAAATTAGTAATATTATTTTGTATTCTTATTATTTACTATTACTACTGTTGTCAGGGATCAGATTAGTCAAATTAGGGACACTTCTTGTATAAATTTCTTGGACAAATCAGTGGTTTTGTATAAATCTGCTGAGACAGGGGACACAGACTCAAAACTGGAACTGTCCCGGGGAAATAGGGACATCTGGTCACTCTATATTAATATTATTTTGTATTATTATTATTCCTACTGTTGCCAGGGATCAGATTAGTCAAAAATAAGGACACTTCTTGTACAAATCTGCTGGGACAGGAGACACAGGCTCAAAACTGGGACTGTCCTAGGGAAATAAGAATGTCTGGTCACCCTAAATTAGTAATATTATTATTAGTTATTATTCCTACTGTTGGCAGGGATCAGATTAGTCAAAAATAGGGAGACTTCTTGTACAAATTTCTTGTACAAATCAGTGGTTTTGGATAAATCTCCTGGGACAGGGGACACGGGCTCAAAACTGGACCTGTCCCGGGTAAACAGGCAAGTCTGGTCACCCTAAATTAGTAATATTATTTGGTATTATTAGTTAGTATTACTACTGTTGGCAGGGATCAGATTGGTCAAAAATACTGTCATTTCGTGTACAAATTTCTTGGCCAAATTAATGGTTTTTGATAAATCTGAAGGGACAGGGGACACAGGCTCAAAACTGGGAACTGTCCTGAGGAAATAAGAATGTCTGGTCACCCTAAATTAGTAATATTATTATTTATTATTATTATTATTATTATTAGTAGTAGTAGTAGTAGTATGTTTGTGTCGTTGTTAGTGTGACCCACCTCTTTATCCTGAGTATGCACTGCTGGGACGCCTTCTCGTTGTCCCAGTCCGTGCTCATGGTCGGGTCCCAGGACGTGGCGTGGATCTGGGACAGGAGCCCGGCCCCCGCGACCCCCGCCACCCCGCCGACCCCGAGTCCGACCCCGGCCAGCGGCGACGGGGTGTGCACCACGGGAGACACGGCCACCACCGGCGGCGTCGACCCGGGGCTCAGGGAGCCGGTGACGGGCGCCAGGGGAGTCACCACCGCGGTCAGGCCACTGTGAGCGGGGGACACGGGCCCGGAGCCGGAGGGAGCACCGCCGCCGCCGCCGGGGGAGAGGAGGTGTCCGGAGCTGGTGAGAGCGGGCAGCGCAGGGGCCCCGTTGCCTTGCCCGGTGACGCCTAAGCCAAGGGCACCGCCGCTGGACTCTTCTCCGAAGCTGTCCGCCATGAGTCGGGGCTAGCGGCAGGCAGGGCTCGGTGTACGCTGCGGTTCCCCCGGGGGGCGGTTAGCGCATGGACAGCCGGGAAAGAGGCGCCTCGTCTCGGTTCTCGTCCCCAAAAATTCAGTGCGTAGACGCGAGGAGCTCAGGCGAGGCCGCGCAACACGGAATTTCTCCCCGCGACATGGCAGCCGTTTGCGGTTTTAGCTCAACAGTGTGGCCCGGGCCTCGGAAAGTAGCGCGGCGGCGGGGAAACGGGCATGTCCCGGCGGGGGGAGGGTTCGGTCGGGGTCCCGGGGCGCGGGGCAGGAGCTGTCACGGTTTTACTCCCGGATCAGACGTGAGACAGAGCGACAACACAACGCAACTTCAGCCCGAGCTTCAGCGATCAAGAGCCGCACACGAAACAACAAACACGGGCTTCCGGAGAGACCTTCACAATAAAACACACAGAGAGTCCAGGGAAAGATTTCAAAATAAAACACGTCTCTAAAAAAAAAAACAACAACAACAGGACAGAATGAAATAAATTGTTTGTTTTTGTCCCCGTGTGTCATGGCAACAGAGCGGTTGGCTGCTCTTGTGCCTGTCTGGCTCACACACTGAGCACATTTTGAAACTTTTAGTTTTTGAGCTCAGTTTTTAACATCATATCATGGGATTTAACCAACTAAGAAGTGCAGCATCTGCAGTTCAAAAACAAATAAAGGACAATTGCATTTGATGAAATAAGCTGTTTGTTTTTCCCGTGTCCATGGAGACCGTGCAAGAGGCTAGCTTTGAGTTGCTAAAGGTTTTTTTTTTTTTTTTTACACGTGGCAGTAAATGTGGCAAAAGATCTTCAGCATAAACACTATAAGCCTTATAGTGTTTGGGGTGTCAAACTAATTTTGGTTCGGGGGCCGTATCCAACCAACTTCGATCCCAAAGTGTCCGGATCAGAAAACTCATGTCATATAAACCCCAAAAATAACAATAAGTTCAAATATTTGTGCAGAGAAACACAAATCTATTACAGATTTTTTTTTAATTGATGAACTCTTTCTTTAACAAAATATTATATTATGAACAACCTGAAACTTTAAGAAAAATACAATTTCAACACAAAGTTTTAACATGAACTTGTTTGTAAACAGGAATAAGTCAAATTTTTGTTGTAAAATCCTGCACTTGGCTCCACTTTTCTCATGTTGGACATTTTTCTGATGAGGGTGTCACGGTCAACAGTCAAAACGATCGTCCTTTAAGAGCGTTAGGAAAGATGGAGACGCTGCTGTGATAAACACCACAGAAAATTAACAAGATTTTAATAGAAAATATAATTAAAACATTTTAGTAGAAAATCAACCGAGGGCCAGATTAAAAATCTTGGAGGGCCGGATCCTGGACTAAGAAGTGCAGCATCACCCATGTGTTTTGGAAATGCTCATCCTACAATTTAATATGAAACATGTTCTTTTTGGTGTGTTTGAGAAAGATATTCCCATCAAAAAAATATATGTGTTGAACTTAATTCTAATCCTATCAAAGTTTCATATCCACTGCTGTAAATTTTATAGTCAGAAACCCAAATTTGTTGTATTTCAGTCCCTCTCTTATATAAATTCTCTAAATTATTGCACAAATCCCAAAACCTTGAAGACAAAAGCACGTCGTATGGAATTTTAAATATGCATGTATTTATTTATTTTTCTACATCTGTACATGTGTATTTGTCTATTTTCATTGTAATGCATGTTGAGCCCTGTGAACATATGAACCTTTAAACCTCCAGCCATGTTTTTGTTTATACCATTGTATATTACACTGTATATCTGAAATAAATTTAAAAAAAGTGCAGCATCTGCAGTTCAAAAACAAATAAAGGACCGTTGCATTTTATGAAAAGAGCAGTTTGTTTTTCCCGTATCCATGGAGACAATGTGCAAGAGGCTAGATAAGGAGCATAGAACTATAAAAGATCCATGCTTTTGCGATGCTACAGGTTTTTTTTTTTTTTTTTACCCATGTGGCAGCAAATGTGGCAGAAGATCTTCAGCATGAAAATTATAAAGGAATGAACACAAGCGACTGTTACAAGAAAACGTTTTTGTTTACGTCCGTCCTTCCCGCACGTGCTCAGTGGCTGGTCGGCAAAAAGCCAGTGGGGCCGCTCGTTTGTGTCGACAGTTGTGTTGCGTTTGTTTGTCATGAGAAAACTCATCTTATTTTGAAGTAGGTTTTGCTTTTAATCGTTTTGACGTGACTTCATCATCTTACACCAAGTCACTGAATGTCGAGGATCAAGAACGTTACTTTGAAAAGTTAAAACTCGCCGATAACTGTTGACGATGTTGATGTTGACTGTAGATACGGAAGCTTTTTGCCTACCAAAATGGCTGCCAACCCCGATCGTGACGTCATCGTGTTTTTGCGTGAAATTATCTGTTTGTTTTTCTCGTATCCATGGAGGCAGGCGTGCAAGAGGCTAGATAAGTATTAAAGGTTGTACAGAGGATTTTTAGGGAAGTGAAATACAGTGACAGTCCTTTTTCAAATGTTGTGCATGCGCGACACCGTAGTAGAAACATCTCCTCCCGCCTCCTTACTCCAGAATCACGCTTGTTTACATCCAGTGCGCGTTCAGAATTACTGTTGAAGTGACCTGTCTAGAAATAATTTAGTGACCGGTGTTTTTAGACCCTTCGTCTGCTTCAGTCGCGCCATCGCTGGAAGGAATCTCCAAGAATCACCTCAGTTTGGCTTCGCTCCTTTTCCCCTTCTCTTCTTCTTTCAGCGACCTCAAAAAACTGATTTTCTTTTGCGGCGAACCGGTCGTGGATTCTCCTCCATCATCTCAAAAAACTTTGTGCGAATTCGAGGAAGCGACAGTTTTGAAAAGCCTCTAAGACCGCTGCATAAACCACGTAATCCCCGAGTCAGTTACACTAGAAACGTAGGGAGTTTGATTGACGACCTAACAGCCAATAGAAAATGAGGTAGCCTCGTTTTCTATTGGCTGATGTTTATCTGGCCTCACTACGTCCACAGTTGATCGATTTTCATTCTTTTTTTTTTTTTTTTTTTGGTCATCATAATTACAAGGCTGCTGTGTCTCTGTAACGGTATTTTCAACTTTCATTGACAATTTGAAACAAAAAAAAATCCTCCATACAACCTTTAAGGATTTGAGATGCTACACCATATGTGGAAACAAATGTGGCAGATCATCTTCCAGAAGAAACACTTTGAGGGAACGAACCATTTCATCTCCAACTGAAACACCGGAGCGGAGTGAGAGCGAGGCCTTTTCCTGTCGTGTTCACCTGGCGCCCCCTGGAGGCTGCTGTGTCGCTGCAGGACACAGAGGAGGGACACTTTTGACTCTTCCTCTCCTCAAACTGCCCCGACACAGAATCTGCTGCCCCCACCTGACCAGTCCTGTTAAACTCACCCGAGACCTTCCGCCGAGGCACAAAACACACCGAGACACAAAACACACCGAGACACAAAACACACCGAGACGCGCTGTGGAAACGTTGCAGCAAAACGCGAATTTCCCTCAGGATCAATAAAGTATCTGTTTATTTATTTACAGTTTATTAATTGTATTTAAAATATTGTATATATTTCAATACATTTTAATAAATTAAAGTAAATTGTAGTTCGTTTGCTTACAGTTTACAGTGTGTCATTAAAGTGCACTAATATGAACAGATGTGGTTATACGACACTCAGCAACTTCTGTTCTTCCCACAGTAGTTCTACTTTTCTACAAGCAAACATTTACTTCTACTTACTTCTTTTATTTTTATTGCCGTAACTCTTGAGTAAAAGTCGTGCTTCCTCTTCACACGGTGCGGACGTCTGCGAGTGACAAAAATTGTACGTGACAAGACGAAATGATTTGAACATTTGCGTTTCTTGCAAATCCTTCTGATCCGATTCAGCTTCGTTTGAAAAGACCAAAATACCGTTGTGCTTTATTTATAGTATTCTTCTTCATATGATAAATCCGACGTTAAAAAAAGCTCTTTTTTACTCTTAATTTCTTCCATCACTACTTTGGAAATACACTGCTAAACAAAAAAAAAACACTTTGAAAACACATCAGATCTCAATGTGAAAAAACTAAACAAAAACACGTTTGTGAAATGCAAGAAAGATCAGTTTTCGTAGAACTGTAGGTTACTTAATAATTTACCTAATAATATTTCTTTCAGCGTCATATAATTAATAGAAACATCAGCTCCTGTTCCATCTGAGACCATGACGTCACGCAGAACATCAAAAAACACCAACACGCTGCAGCTGACGGACTCCGTAATGAACTGAAGGTGACATCACTTTGTAGAACCTCATTGTGCACAGAGAATTCAAGATCAACAGTTACCGTTCATATTTAATCCGTGTGTCATTCATTTATTTGTTTTTCAATATAAAACCAAAAATAAGAAAATGAAAAAACTATTTTCTTCATTATTTGTCTCCAAAACCAAAATGGAAAAAAAAACGGATAACGATTCGTTTTTTTCAGTTTTCGATTTTGTGTTTAAATGAAAAATGGAAAAAACAGATAAGACGTTTCCCGTTTACGTGACGTCCGTGACTGTGATGCTGGACTTTTGCACCGCATACAGACTGAACCAGGACTGATCCAGGACCGGGATCAGATCAGGACTGAGACCGGGACCAGAGCGGGACTGAGACTGAGACCAGACCAGGACCAGGCCGGGACCAGACCGAGACCAGGGCAGACTCCGAGCTTTAACTCCGAGCCTCCGCAGGGTTCGAGCCTCAGCTTCGAGCTCTGCTGTGGGCTCTGAGCCTCCGGTCTGGTCTCGGTCTCAGTTCTGATCCCAGTCCCAGTCCGGTCCTGGTTCAGTCTGTATGCGGCGCAAAAGTTCAGCATCACAGTCACAGAAGTCACGTAAATGGGAAACGGTCAGTATCTGTTTTTTTCCATTTTTCATTTAGACACAAAATCGAAAACTGAAAAAAACGAATCATTATCAGTTTTGTCATTTTGGTTTTGGAGACAAATAATGAAGAAAAGTGTGTTTTCATTTTCTTATTCATTGTTGTTTTTTTTTATATTGAAAAATTATTTGATTGCAGATTGCATTTGGTTACAGCTTTCATTATCATTTGGAAACTTAAAATACAGACAAATAATGAAGAAAAGTGTTTTCATTTTCTTATGATTGGTTTTATATTGAAAAACAAATGATACGCAGATTATATTTGGCAGCTTATAGTTAGAGAAACTTCACTCAACACAAAAACGGGTCTTAAAATTGGAACAGGGACTGGAAGGTTAACTAGAATAAAAGTAAACCACTAAATAAAACCGTATATATTAGATCTCAATTTGGATAATTCAATGTCCTGTTTATAACATAGATAAACTTCATAAAACATTCAAACCTACACACTTGACAAAATTTCAGATATGTAAAGAGTAATTAAATTATCCAAGCAGTTCAAGGGCTCACGATGTACTTCAAGAAACCATGAAATATAAAATTGCATAGTTGTGTCTATACCAGGGGTCTCCAGCCTTTTTCCTCCAGTGAGCAACTTTTACCAAACAAAAATACCAGAGAGCTACTAAATTCAGTGTTTGCAAGAAATTTAGGGCAAGCTTTACATGGGATACAGTTAGACGCCTCTAAACCATTATTTATTACCGTATTTTCTGGGCTATTAGTCGCTCTGGATTATAAAACACACTGTCATTAAATGGTCTATTTTCGAACTTTTTCCCACAAATAAACCGCGTGGGACTTTAAAGGAAACAACAGTGTGATGGGTGAGTGGTTTTGTTTGTTTGTTCGTTCACGGTGACTCTGGGCTTTGTTCACTTGTGGTGTGTAGGGAGGGTGTGTCTGGGACCAACGGATTGTCGGCGTGTTGGCGGTGACTCAGTTGTTCAGTCGTGTCTAGAAGCGGCACGTTGCGCTCGCTTTTTCGGTTCGTTCCTCCGTTCCGTTCCTCGTCGGCGTGGAGTGATGAGTGTTTCTGATTGTTAGGTTTATCTAAACATTGTAAACAAGAAGAAAGACAAGAGATTAATTCAGTTTTACTCGCGAGGAGAACGGGCAGAGAGTGGGCATCAAAACCAACAGTCTCCACACGTTCTGATGACTCAAGGCCGTTCTCCTCTTTTTATTTCATTAGGAGGAACTAGTTACAGAATGAGTATATGAGAATTCTCAAGGGGGAAGGGGAAACAGCCAAGACATAATAAGAAACTGGTGCAGCTATGCATAGTACAAACACATAAAACATGATTAACAATCAGGAGGTGCCTTAGGTCAGACACCATCATAACTCTTGCATGTGTGACAGTGGGAGTTGGCTTCATGTGAGGAATCATCTCGAGGTTCACTAGAGCGACAGGACACTGCACACAGTTGTCAAACACACAGAGGTTATTCATTTTCATACAAGTGATTGGTACATTATAAATCAAAGAATTGTAGTACATAAATGGTTAACTCATAGGCCTAGAATATCACACAAGTATTTAGCAAATATGGGATAATAAAATTATTCTGACACTGCTCCGTGTGTGTTTGTGTGTTCTGCGGGTGGTGCGGCTTTGTAGTTTACTGAAGTCGTGCTGGGACACCTGAGTGGATTCGTGTATAGGGCTCTGGATTGTGGGGTGTTTTTTGATGGAATTGGGGGCTTAAGAGCGCGTCTAATAGCCCGGAAAACGGCTCGGTTTTCAGGTCAGGGCCTCTTGATGATCCCAAAGACCCGATTTAAAACTCTGGGTCACATGTGTTTTCAGGCTGTGGCTCCCAAATTATAGAATGCCCCTGCCCCTAACCCTATGTGACAGGTTCTATACTCTTTTAAAAAGCAGCTCAAGACTCTGCTCTTTAAACAGGCTTTGGGTTGACTGTGTCTAATTCCTCTCTTCTCGTTTATGTTGTTTATTGCTCTGTAAAAGCACTTTTTGATTTTGTTATCTGTGAAAAGGTGCTTACTTAAGACTTACTTTAAATCTCCAGTGCAATACTGAAAATCTGACGTCGGCGCTGTTGTTTTTTGATGGGGTTGGAGGCTTAAGAGCGCGGAAAATACAGTAGTATACATAATTATACATTTACAATGGGAATTATTACAATTTTAGTTAATTAACAGTGTTGGGGAGTAACAGATTACATGTACCGGAGTTACGTAATCAGAGTACAAATTATGAGTAACTGTATTCAGTTACAGTTACTGTTTCAGTGAGTGTTTTCCTGTTTTCACATTTTGGGCTATATCCTTTTTTTCTTCTGTAATTCCACTCATTGCCGGACACTAAATTAGGTCTAAAACCAGGTCTAAACTAGGTCCAAACCAGGACTAAACCAGGACTAAACCAGGACTAAACCCTGGTCTAAACTATGTCTCTAACAGGATTTAACAGGACTAAGTAAGTAAGTCTTTATTTATACAGCGCTTTTTTACAGACATTTCTGCCCCCAAAGACACTTTACACTTTATTCAGCATTATTCATTCACTCTGTACCTGGTGATGGTAAACTACTATTGTAGCCACAGCTGCCCTGGGGCACACTGACAGAAGCGCGGCTGCCATGCCACTCGGCGCCATCGGTCCCTCCGACCACCACCATCACTCACACACAACACTTTCATACTAGGCAAATTAGGCGAAGTGTCTTGCCTAAGGACACAATGACTGAATTGATTGTATTTTAACTGACCTTGACTATCAACTGTTTATGAAGACCTGCAGCATGTTTTGGGTTGATGGGGGAAACCGGAGCACCCGGAGGAAACCCATCCAAACACGGGGGGGAAACATGTAAACTCCACACAGAAAGGCCCGGGCGACCCGAACCCAGAACCTTCTTGCTGTGAGGCATGAGTGCTAGCCCCTCAGCCACCGTGCCTGAACTAAGGTTCAGTAAAGTCTGGCCTTTTTTATTTTCTTTTAGCAAACAAAACATCTGATGTGAAGATTTCCTCGTCTTTGCTTCTCTACCGCAAACCAAATAATCCAAAATACTCAGATTACGTTACTCACTTTAAGTAATTTAATGGATTATGTTACAAACTACATTTTGGGGGATGTAATCTGTAATCTGTAGGGGATTACATTTTAAAAGTCACCTTCCCAACACTGGTTATTAAGGAGAGTACATACAATTCAGAAATCCGTTTTGAGCTACATTAAAAGGGGGAGGAGAGCGACTCTTAACTCCCGAGCTCCAGGTTTTAGACTCCTGGTCTATACTAAACCGTTCAGATGATTTACTGTCGACTTTTGTCCCTATAAAAAAAAAACATGATGTAGTTTGAGCTCCGACAGCCACTTCAAGATTTAAATTCTGTCAATTACAGGACTAGTATACTTAAAGAAAAGTCCCGTTCTGGTTCTGGGTTTTCACACTTCCATTAAGAATTCAAAAGGCATCGTAGAAGCTAATCTGATGTGCACCAAAATCTAACAAACTAATAAAGGAAAAAAAAAAAAAAAGTCCAAAGAACACATTTAGAAGATTTGCCAAAATGTTTTAACTTTGTGGTTTATAAAGTTTGAGTCAGATTCTAAATAAAATTATAGGTCTTATGACTACCTCAACTGACCTCATGGCAGATTTGAAAACTTTTTAAAGCTCACATTTTTTCACAAAGTTGGAAAAACAAAAACAGTACTTCTGGAACCCGGGCTGGGCTCGATTGCCTCCTAATAAAAGTGAAATCACAACAGCTTAAGTTATCCAAAGCATTTATTTTTTGCCAACCTGAACGTGACGTCATCGTGTTTTCTTGTATTGTGTGACATTAACCGTTCGTTTTTCTCGTATCTTTGGAGGCTAGATAAGTATTAAGGATTTGAGATGCGGCAGATGAGATGTGGCAGAAGATCCTCCAGAAGAAACACTTTTGAGGGAACGAACCGAAACACCAGAGCGGAGTGAGAGCGAGGCCTTTCCTGTCGTGTTCACCTGGCGCCCCCTGGAGGCTGCTGTGACGCTGCAGGACGCAGAGGAGGGACACTTTTGGTTCTTCCTCTCCTCAATCTGTCCCGACACAGAACCTGCTGCCCCCACCTGACCAGTCCTCCTGTTAAACTGCCCCGAGACCTTCCGCCGAGACACAAAACACACCGAGACGGGCTGTGGAAACGTTGCAGCAAAACACGAATTTTGCCCCTGTAAAAACCGTGAAATAGTTTGAGCTCTGACAGCCACTTGAGATAAAAATTTTGCCAATTACAGGACTAGTATACTTAAAGAAAAGTCCCGTTCTGGTTCTGGTTTTCACACTTCCATTAAGAATTCAAAATGCATCGTGGAAGCTCATCTGACGTACGCGAAGTTCTGCAACTAAAAGAAAGTCCAAAGATTTGCCAAATGTTTTAACTTGGTTGTTTATAAAGTTTCAGAGTCAGATTCTAAATAAAATTATAACTAATGACCTCATGGTAGATTTAAAAACACTTTTAAAGCTCACATTTTTTCGTAAAGTGAAAAAAATGAGAAATGTGCTTCTGGAAACCGGGGCGGGCAGGTGGTCACAGTTGAACTCGATTGCCTCTTAATAAAAGTGAAATCACAACAGCTTTAGTTATCCCAAGCATTTATTTTTTTTGGACAGACTTTAAACCGAAGTGAGGTCTTACATCATCTTGAGAACACAAAAAGTAGTGGAACATAAAAATGTATTTTCAGGCCTTTGCTCGGCACTGATGTGTGTTGGATCTGTAGACTGGAATGGCCCGCGGCTGCCCCAGAGCCCGTCCCGGGAGCCTTCAGGAGGAGCGCGGGAGGGCGGGGGGGGTCAGCCGGGGCAGTGCGGCGGAGGAGGAGGAGGAGGAGGAGGAGGGGCGGCACCGTGCCCGGGTTACATGGCGAACAGGATCAAGAACGCCACCATCAGACAGAAGAGCCCCATGGCCTCAGACAGAGCGAAGCCCAGGATGGCATAAGAGAAGAGCTGCTGCTTCAGGGACGGGTTCCTGCACCACAACGGAAACAAAAAAGAGGAGTTTGGTACCAGAGTAAAGCTCAAATGCAACTTTAAAATCATGTTTTACAGTTTATCAAGATCAGGGCATGGGCAATGTTTGATTTGATCTGGCCTTTTCAAAAACATTAACGTTATTTTATCATTAAGACTTTTATATTTGCACCATTTCAACAAATAATCAGATTACTCCAAACTAGGGGTGTGCAAAAAATATTGAAATACCGATATATCGTATTGTTTAATGTGATACAGTATCGATTTGGAAGGTCGCTGTATAGGTGAGTTTCAGCTGACGTCATTGTTATTAAATTAAATGAGTTTCCTTCCTCTAAACAAGCAACAAAATAATTTGGTAAAGCCACCAAAAAATATTCTTGGTGATATAGGAGAGTTTCATTGTTGACAAAAGAGCGTTGCTGCTGGGAATTATTTTGGTCAGAGGCAAGAAACACGGTAGCGTCAAACACAGTGCGTAACCTCGTGTATTTCTCCCCGATAATGGTAAATTCCTGCTGCATTATCGGACGCACAAATAGAAGCACGGAAGAAGGAAAATGTCTTTTTCGTATTCCGAGTGAAAAGAACCGCTAACGGTGAATTAAACGACTTTCAAACATCCGCAGAGCAAACGTAGAAGATCCTAACAAACCGTGGACTCAACAAGTTCAACAACACATCGAGACTCTTGGAGGTTTTCATCTTTTCTGCTGTGAATGGCCCAGGAGTTTCCACCAAGTCATTGTGGATGTCGCCCAAGTGAATATTTGTCCAGGTTGTTGGCGATTCTGACCAGAAATTTGGTTTGTTCCACCTTTTGTCGGGGTTGAAAAGGGTGATTTGTCGTCCGTCGATGTTTATGACCAATTTCTGGTCAAATGGTCTTGGGTCCTCTGCCGTTAGAGTGGATAAATAACCGGGATCAATACCCTTTACGTGCTTTCTCGCTCCGTCCGTCATGTTGAATTAGTGTTTCTTGCCGCCGACCAAAATAATTCCCAGCATGCAACGCGCGCTTTTGTCAACAACAACATTATTTTGTTACAGTGCTACAGTTTTGCTGCTTGTTTAGAGGAAAGAAACTTGTTTATTTGACATTTTCACTGTTTTGATGATTAAAATGTTTGAGTTTCGTATGAATTTTGCACAAGAAGTGGTTTAACAAAGACTTTAAGTGTCACCCTGATTTAGCCTTTATTTTTTATTGAACCGTACTGAATCGATTTCAAATATATTGTATCGAATCAAAAGTGTACGTATCATATCGGCAACTTCTTAATGATACCAGCCCTACTCCAAACCACATGCCTCTACTGAGATTTACTGTTGATCTATTCAAAAACCACAACCAAATCATTGACAATTAACGAAGAGTAAAGTTTCATCAATCGCACAGCTCCAATAAACACCATTTCCACTTTTCAAAAAACATTTAGTTTGACTTCAAAACTTTACAATCAAGCAAATCCAATATTGTTTGACCACAGAACTAAAACAAATATTGGCTCAAAAAATCTGCCCATCCCCATTTAGCAGATGTACATTTTTAAATATATCTACATAAGAAGTACAAGATAAAAGGTAAAATATTACATGTTGAATTTCTACAATTGTCTAAACTAAATATGAGTAACCTTTTCCAAAACTTAATTCAGTGCTCCAGAAAAACTGCTCATTTGTAGATGCATCTTTAGGGCAGCCTGTTTTATTTATAACGGTCTCGTCAATATCAAATGCACTTTTAAGATTGTGATTATTCTCACGCAGCGCCCTGTGATCGCCGTAAGCTACAGTGAAGAGTGGAGTTGTTTCTACACAATAAAGAGCCAATCATTTCGAATCAGCTTTGGTCTGGTCAATAGTTAATCCTGACCTGTGCTCCAAACCACAGGAGTTTGCTGTTGACAGACTTGAGAAATAAATTAAAGTTTCATTAAATGGCACAGACTGAAAGAGCTTAGAACAGGCATGTCCAAACTACGGCCTGTAGACACATTTTTCTTGGCCCTCAGGCTTCCAGATGACTTTATCTACATTACTTAACAGCAATTAAAAATTAACTTTTTACTGCAAGTTTTTTGAAACTACCTTGATAAAGCTCATATTGAATATTTAGTGTGTGGTTTTAAGGATCTTAGCGTGAATAAAGACTGATGGCTCATTCTAACGTGTTAAACATGCATGTATTTCAATTATTCACTGTATTGAGCGTCAGTCTACGGCCTCGATCAAACCTCTGCTTTGTCTGTGTTTAGGGAGGTGGCCCTTGATGAAAAAAGTCTGGACACCCCTGACCTAGAACATTAAGAGGCCCTGCAAGAAAGAAGAGTTCTTGAGTTTTTTTGTTTTTTTTTTTTCAAAAAAAAAATAAGAGTCCAAACTCTTGAGAATCCCTCTTCATCTTTTGCGATTAGTGATTCTCGGCCTATAACAGCAGCGTTGTGGTTTGGGGTGGAAGTCTGCGCCGAAATAACCAAAACATGGCTGCACCAACAAATGCACTTCAGACAATTTTAGCGTAAAATTCCAAACAAAGTATTTCGAAGCTCCTGTTCAGAATAATTCATTTTTTTCTTTTTCTTTTTGGAGATTATATAATTGTGATGAGCAATGTAAAATAATTGTCTTTATGTATCTGTTGATTACTGCATAATAAGTTTATTCGGATGTTTCCATAAATAAATTTCATCATCACAAAACTACGATTGTTTTCAGTGAGCAGTTCCAGATTGATAAATTTAGCAGCCAATTTTCACATCAGACCGATTTGTGAGTCGCTCTGAATTAAAACCAAAAGCCATATTTGTTTAGAACAGGGATCTGCAACCTTTTGTGTCCGGTGAGCTTTACCTTTACAAAAATGAAAATAAAATTGAAAATGCCGGAGTGCTACTTATTTTAGCGGCCGCAAAAAAACTGATTCGATATAAAGAGGGCAAGTCTTGAATGTACAGTTAGACGCCCTTAAAACATTAAACCATTATCCATTTATTAGTGCACCAAGTTCAAAATAACACGTTTACAGTGGTAATTAATGAAATTTGAGTTATTTAGTACAATATGTGTAATTCAGAAATCCTTTAGCGAGCTACTTGGAAGGGCGTGGAGAGATACAGGTACAAAAGTTGATCAAAAGTAGTAGGTAGAAGCAGTAGTGTTAGTAGGTAGGTAGTAGAAGGTAGTAGTAGGAGGTAGTAGGTAGTAGTAGTAGGAGGTAGTAGGTAGTAGTAGTAGTAGTAGTAGTAGTAGTAGTAGTAGTAGTAGGTAGTAGTAGGTAGTAGTAGGAGTAGTAGGTAGTAGTAGTAGTAGGTAGTAGTAGGAGGTAGTAGTAGTAGTAGTAGTAGTAGTAGTAGTAGTAGTAGTAGTAGTAGTAGTAGTAGTAGTAGTAGTAGTAGTAGTAGTAGTAGTAGTAGTAGTAGTAGTAGTAGTAGTAGTAGTAGTAGTAGTAGTAGTAGTAGTAGTAGTAGTAGTAGTAGTAGTAGTAGTAGTAGTAGTAGTAGTAGTAGTAGTAGTAGTAGTAGTAGTAGTAGTAGTAGTAGTAGTAGTAGTAGTAGTAGTAGTAGTAGTAGTAGTAGTAGTAGTAGTAGTAGTAGTAGTAGTAGTAGTAGTAGTAGTAGTAGTAGTAGTAGTAGTACAAGTAGTAGTAGTAGTAGTAGTAGTAGTAGTAGTAGTAGTAGTAGTAGTAGTAGTAGTAGTAGTAGTAGTAGTAGTAGTAGTAGCAGTAGTAGTAGTAGTAGTAGTAGTAGTAGTAGTAGTAGTAGTAGTAGTAGTAGTAGTAGTAGTAGTAGTAGTAGTAGTAGTAGTAGTAGTAGTAGTAGTAGTAGTAGCAAGTAGTAGTAGTAGTAGTAGTAGTAGTAGTAGTAGTAGTAGTAGTAGTAGTTAGTATTATTACCTGGCGTATCCGATGATGAGGCTGCCGAACACCGTCCCGATCCCTGCCCCTGAGCCGGCCACTCCCACTGTGGCGGCTCCTGCTCCGATGAACTTGGCGGCGGTGTCGATGTCCCTGGACACGGCGCTGGTCTGGAACGAGCGCAGAGACACGGGCGACTGGCTCACGGGCACCAGGGCCTGAGGAGGGACAGTGTGGAGAAAAACACAAACCACAGGTCAGGCTTTTTAATACAGAAATACTGTTGAGATGTGACGTTACTCTGCACTTTAAACTGTGTTAAGATTTCACTTTTACAAACCAGAGCTGCTACTGTTACCACTTATATGATGTTAGGATAAGTTGTTAGAACGGGCCAAACAGATCGGGGCAGAAGTGCCCACAATATTTGCTTACCACAGAGGATGAATAAAAACAGCGGTGCTTTGAGAAGTTTCAACAAGATAAATTTAGAAATCAGCCCTGATGAAGACCAAGTCAAAACGTGTTGCGTGACAATAAATCCACAGCAAATCAAAGTGCCTCTGCCGTCCTTTTTTCTACTTAAGAATTCAAACCCTCCGGTCTGATGAGCACCTGTATGTGCAAGTTTTGATCCAGTACATCTCTCCAATATTGTTATTTTTTAAGATAAATTCAGAGTTGAGCCTCAGAGTCAAGCGTCTGCTCACAATTGTCCAGGACCAGTGTTGGGAGAAACACGTTATACAAGTAACAAATTACTGTAATATGTTGCTTTTTTGCTGTAACGCAGTAATGTGGAATCACAGGGACATTTTTTTTATTTTTGTCAGTACAAATGTCAGTAACGCACGTCACAATACTTTAACCTGGATTGAAGTGGTGGGTTTTTCTTCATACAAATTTGCTAAAATCACCGCAATATCAGCAGCGGTGAAACACCGGAGACGTGTCCGCGTAGACCGTCGGGTGACCACGAGTGAAAACCAGTCCCGGTTCAGTCCCGGTTCAGTCCCGGTTCAGTCCCGGTTCAGTCCCGGTTCAGTCCCGGTTCAGTCCCGGTTCAGTCCCGGTTCAGTCCCGGTTCAGTCCCGGTTCAGTCCCGGTTCAGTCCCGGTTCAGTCTCTACAGTTATTTTGGTGAAAGTAACTTAAATTGTTGCAATGGTCATGTAATGTTTTACATTTTAAATGCAGTAATATTGTAATTTAAAGAATCACTTTGAAATGACTGTAACAAGTCATAAATAACACATTACAGTTTAAGTCACTTGCCCAACAGTGTCCAGGACAATAATGCATCTGTGAGTCGAGGTGCGCAAAATATTGACGCATCATTTAATGTGATGATACAGTATTGATTTTGGAGGCTACTGTATCAATATTGCCAATAATAATTTTGGTATATTTTACCAAATTATTTTGTTGCTTGTTTAGAGGAAACTCGTTTATCAAACACATTTGATATTTTCACTATTTTGACGAGGAAAATTGGCTTTTCTCAATATATAAACTTTGCATAAGAAGTGGTTCAACAAAGAGTTAAACCACTTTAAACACTTCACAGCCATAGACTTTTTTTTTAAATAAAACTGTATCGAATAGTTTTATAATACATCTTATCAAAAAAAGTTAAACTATCTATCCATATCAAGGCTTTTGTATGGAGTTATGTATCATATCGGGAACTTCCGCATGACACCGAGCTCTAACTGAGTCGTTGAGACATTTGGTCGTTCCCGTGGTGCAGTGCGCTCACCTGCTGCTCTGTGGGCTGGGGTCTGTACAGGGACACTGAGACTGGCCGGGCGAGGACTCTGGACCCTCCACGCAGCTGAAGGCACAACACACATCACGTTAAACACGGTCACATGTCACAGAAGCGATCGGTTTGTCTTTCACATGAGCACAAGAGCTGAAGTTCACAGACAAACGGCGACGTCGGAAAGGAAAGGTGAAGATCATACACAAGTGTTTTTCACATCATTGAGGTTAAAAAGTTCTAAAGTGACACCAAAATACTTGGCTGATTCTTCAAAATTTCAAACCATGATACTAAAAAGACTAAATACTCATGATTTTAATACCACAATAAAAATACTTTTTAGACGATGGCCAATGTAGCACTTTATCATGTGGTGTTCTACTAGTTCTAATAAAACTACAAGCGGGACTGACCTTTCAGAACAGGTTTAGAATGATCTTGAGCTTTATGTAGTAATATAGGAACTAGGGATGGGCATTCGATGAAATTTTCTTAATCGATCGTCGGAAGAAATAATGATTGATTATCGATTAATCATTAACGTTTTTATATTAAAATGATCATCATTATTATTACTATCTGCACTACTAACCTGCATAAATAAATTCAACTTTACGACATATAAACCGTAACGACTCTAGAGCCACATCAGTCCGTTTTAGATTATAATGTGTTTAATTCAGTTTTGTTCAAATCTCACAGAAACGAAACTTAAAACCGCATCGCTAATTTACATAAACTAAGCGAAAATAAAACTACAGCTCTTGTGTCGCTTATGCGGTCAGTTTCTGTCGGATTAAAAGACATGACTCAGATGAATACAGGTTAGTGTGACCAGATTTGCGTTTGTCAAAACCAGGACAGCGTACGGGGGGAGGGGGGCGGGGCCTCGTCATTGACATTGCGCGACTCTCACCTGGTAAAGCTTTTTCCCACTGGACACTGAAACATATGTTCTTTCTTTATACACTGTGCACATGGACTCACACTTGTCCCAACGCAACGGAAAGTGTGGAATTTCTTGTACAAATCATCGTTACATACGCATTTGTGCTTCGGTTCGTTACAGACTGACCCACTGTTTGTGTCTCGCTCCTTCTGATGCAGAGACACATGTACACACCTGTTTGGTCAGGCTACGCACAGCAACCTACATTCGGTTTGTCGATTAAAATTAACGTAATCGATGAAATTCTTAATGATCAATTATCGATTAATCATGCCCATCCCTAATAGGAACACATTAATCTTATTTTTAGACTAGTTTAGTGTTGACTGCCATCTGATTTGACACTTTAAAAACTTAATTGGAAGTCATAATCAAATATAAAAGGTGAAGAACTCTCAGATCAGGAGGGTGAAATTTCCCGAGATGCATATTGTAAATTCAAATCAGATTAGGGGTGTGCAAAAATATAAAAATATCAATATATCGTATCGGTTAATGTGATGACTAGGGCTGGGTATCATCAAGAAATTGCCGATACGATATATACATCTCGATACCGTGAGCTTTCAATTTAATTTGATTAAAAAAAAATAAATAAGGGCTAAATGAAGGCTGTGATACTAAAAGTCTTTATTAAACCATTTCTTGTGTAAAGTTAATATAAACTTTACATCGCATCTTGTTTGTGTTACTTTCCTTTGTCCCTAGCACTGGTTCATTTTGATCATTCAACAGTGAAAATGTCAAATGTGTCGCTTAAACAAGTTTACTTCTTTTAGAACAACAAACAAACTGTAGCTGTAACAAAATAATTTTGTAAAATATACCGAAAAATACTCTTTGTGATATATTGATACTCCATTATCACATTAAACGATACGGTATTTCAATATTTTTGCACACCTCTAGTGATGAATGACAGTATCGATATATCGCCAAGAGTATTTTTGGGTACATTTTACTAAATTATTACATTACAGAGCTACAGTTTTGTTGTTTGTTTAAAGGAAGGAAACTCGTTTATGTGACACATTTGACATTTTCACCGTTTTGATGATTAAAATGTTTGTGTTTCATATGAATTTTGCACAAGAATAAGTGGTTTAACAAAGACTTTTAGTATCACAGACATGATTTAACCTTTGTTTTTTTTATTGAACCGCATTAAATCGATTTGAAATATATCGTATCGAATTGAAAGTGCACTGTGTATCGTATCGGCAGCTTCTTAATGATACCCAGCCCTAAAGCAGACGGGCGTTTAACAGCACATTAAATTTCAGCAAAAAGTCTGAGGAATTTGGCTCCTGGTCGAGATACCAACAAAAAAGTTTGATCTAAAAAAAAAAGTAAAAGTTGTCAGGTTAAAATCTTTCTGGCATAAAACCGTTTACCAAAACTGGAAAATCCAATCTAATCCACATTTCACAAACAGTTTCCAAAGTGCTGCACAAATATATAAAAATAAAATAAACTACTAAATTACTCATACTAGTCTTAAAATAATAAAACCAGTAAAATTAAATATGAGAAAAATCATGGAATTGCAATAAAAAGTACATTAAAAAAAATAAATAAAATAAAACGCAGAACTCACAGGGTGTTAAAAGCCAGAGAATAAAAGTGGGTCTTAAGACGAGACTTAAAACTCTCCACTGTGGGGGCTGTTCGGACCTGGAGAGGGGGAAAAGGGAAACTATGCTTTGTAGGTTTGATTTGGGGGCAATTTGTGATTATTGAGCTGAAGTCTGTTCCATTATCCGTGTGTTGAGAGGCAGGACTCGACTTTGGAAGCGACGAAAAGGCAAATCAAAGCCGCGTTTACATCTGAGAAACAGCCCGGGACTCCCTCAAACCCTGGAGGTCAGCTGACATAAAGGCCACAGGAGTCTCGAATAGTCCGGCTGACCCGTCCTTGTGCACGAGATTCCGCAGGATCCAAACCCACTATCAAGTTCATCGAGTATTCTACCACAAATAAACCCCCCCTCCAAACTACAACGAACTCACCACAGCGGGGGAAGTGACAAACTTGGCGCAGGCGTACATGGCTCGACCTGAAGAGAAAACGGAAAAGTTATTACACGTTTTGTTCGCGTTTCTGTTCAAAACACATATTTTAAAAACAGATCCGATAAAAATACGCACGAACGACTAGTACAATAACATTTCTGAACACGTTTTAAAGCAGAATAAAACAAAACAGTGTCATTTGTAAAGGAAATTTGTCATTTAAAACTGGAAAACCGCATTTTAAAAGTCACAAACCTTCGCAAATCAAGTCAATAGACATTTAAAATCACAAAATAAAAGGTGGATTTGACCAGTATCGTGTCTCTGAACAAGTAGTATTACTCAAGTTTTAAACAATAAAAAACAGGAATTGAAGCAGCAAAAAAAAGGATCCAAAAGTCGCCATTTTGGACAATAAATTTAGCCCATTTTTTTCTTTTTAACACTCAATTAAACCAACAATTCTGGACCAAAATTATCTGTAGGACTGTATATCGCAGATCGTGATGAGACGACCCCAAAAAATCTCTTGTGACCCACCTGAGGATCACAACTCTTTGAGAAACAATGATTTAAAATTGAAAACTGCAGCCTTTGACATTGGCAAATTGTGTTGTTTCAGTCGCAGATTAATCTTTTTTTCTTAATCTTCACTCACAAAATAGTTAGAAAGGACAAGTATTGATCAAAACGCAATTATTAATAGGATTAAAAGTGGCAAGATCAGACCAGAATTACACGACTACGTTAATTTTAAATCGTAAAAACGTCCTAAATCTATAGCCGGACTGGGTGACCTTTTTGTAGCGTTAAAGTCACTGTTTAAGCAAAATATTTTGGTTAAAGTTGAGTTTGCATGTACGTCTTCGCTCGTAAAGAGGCTTCCAATGCCGGATTAGTTTGTGCAAATATGATTTCTTTCAACAGGTTGGTTATCCTGAGACCAGTCTGCAGGTTGACATTTAGTCCGGCTATAGATTTAGGACGTTTTTACGATTTAAAATTGAAAACTGCAGCCTTTGACATTGGCAAATTGTGTAGTTTCAGTCGCAGATGAATCTTTTTTCTTAATCTTCACTCACAAAAAGTTAGAAAGGACAAGTATTGATCAAAACGCAATTATTAAAAAGTATTAAAAGTGGCAAGATCAGACCAGAATACACGACTATGTTAGTTTTAAATCGTAAAAACGTCCTAAATCTATAGCCTGAGGTAATGTCAACCAGCAGACTAATCCAATTGTGCAGCCTGGTCTCAGGATAACCAACCTGTTGAAAGAAATCACATTTGCACAGACAATTCCGGCATTGGAAGCCTCTTTACGAGCGAAGACGCGCATGCAAACTCAACTTTAACCAAAATATTTTACGTAAACAGCGACTTTAACGCTACAAAAAGGTCACCCGGTCCGGCTCGGGGTCCAACTCCGTGTCCAAGCTGCAAGGGGGACGGGCACCGGGGCTAGGCTAAGCGGCTAAGCTAACGGATACGGCCGCGCTGAAGGTCAAAAAAAAAAAGCGTCCGAGGTGCCACAGAGGACGCCCCCGGGAACAACTCGGAAAAGCGACTCCTCGGAACTCGGAAGGAGACGCGCTCGCGGAACAGCCCGACGTTCGGGTGCGTGTCCCCCCCGGGGTGTCGTCCTTGCGCTGCGGGTAAAGGGAGAACAGCGAGGCCCGCAAATCTGTCAGACATTTTACGCGCACGGATGGAAGTAGCGGCGGTGGTGGAGATTGTAGCGCGGCTGGGCACGAGTTTAGAGAAACGGGTGGATACTGGCGGGCACGGTTGTCGGATCGGACCAGCGCGCGATCGGACCAGCGAATCGTGTTATCTGGCGTGTTTGTGTGTAGTGAATGCACATGGGCTCCATTCTTTCATTGGAAGTCATTGAATGGCCGACCCGGGGACTCTACACTCTTGGCATTTCATTGCGGGGCGGCGCTTAGCTCATTCAGCTGTCAACAGATTTGTGCAAACTTGTCCTAGAATTAAGCGTTAAAAAGACTCAAATTGTGAGCTTACAAGTCGTGCATAACAAGTTAAATCAACGTGCAACTTTTATTTTCACGTCAGCACCGATTTACGACGTGAAAACCGGATCCTACAACAACTACTACAACAAACTTGCTCAAATCCGATTGCAGCGTTTAACCTTGACTACAAAAATATCCCTGAACATATCTTTAACTCTAAAACGCCTGCTAACCCTACGCATGATGAGTTTTGAGTAGAAATATTGTGGGAAAAACTGTCAAAAAAAGCCACACGGACGAAATGCCCAGGCTTTAGCGACCTGCGTGCTAGCGGCCGTGTTTTAGCAATGACAGCCCGCTTCTACACGCTCATCCGCGGGGGAACGGAGCGACGCGGACACGGAGAGCGGGCAGGGCGGTTGCTAAACGCGTTACGAAGCGGGTTGAAGGAGGAAAATGTGCGTAAAATTACCGGTTTGTGAGGGGTTTCGGAGGGTCCGGGTTAGCTGCTCTCGCGCACAGCGGCAGTCAGTGAATGTGGGCCGGGGCGAGCTGTCACCTTGTCATTTATAAGTCCAACGTCTACGTCCTCGGCGCCGATTGGTCCGAGGGGGGGGAGCGCGCGTTCTGATTGGACCGCGGCGGCGTCTGTCTTGTTAAGGGGGCTGCAGGGCGGGAGTAAAGTGGAAAGCAGGAGACGTGATTGGTTGGAAAGGAGAGAAGGCGGGACGGCGTGAAGGTGCGCGTGTTTGATTGGACAGTTTTGGACAGACGTGAACGAAATGTGACTTCAGTGTGAGCTCTGTTTATTGGTCAGATTCATTTGCACCTGTTTTTACTGTTGTAATGAGGAAAAAATAATATTAAATTAATTCATAAATAGATTATTTGGGGAAAACCAAGTGCCACAGGAAATAATACTCCCTACAACTGATTTTACATTTTATTACTTATCTTTCTAATTTATTTGGACTTGTACATTTACATTTATATAATTATGTCTTATTTCACACCTGCCTCTTACTCTTTTTTTGCTACTTATTTAGAATTTATATTATGTTTTACTCTTTGTTATTGTATTATATTGTCATGTGTGAGCTCCTGTGTCCAAATAATTTCCCTTGTGGATCAGTAAAGTTTGTCTAAGTCTAAGTCTAGGTCTAAATTGTTGTTGTTCATCCACGTTGTTTAGTATAAATGTGGTGGACAAGTGTTGGTGGTCAGTCTGTCCCGGGGCAGCTGTGGCTCTGATAGTAATGTGCCACCAAATATAGAGGTAATGATATAATTCAGTGTAAAGCACATTATAAGTGCTCTATAAATGCAATCCATTGTTATATTTTATTATATCAGAGTATATAAAATTATTGTGTAACCTATAAAACTGGGATGGAAATAAAAGTTACAATGGAAGTGTGGCTAGAAAATAATCTTGGTAAAAGTATGAAACTCTTCCCCCAAAATGATATTACAGGCCCTGTCCTAAGCCTTAGGAAGTCAGAAACATTGGATCAAACTGAATTTTGGATATGATCTGGCATGATCATGGTGATTTTTCATCAAAATAAAAACATTTTTAGATTGTAGATCGATTTTTAAGATCAGACCAAACGATGCTCAGAGGAAAATACACACAACACTGATGTACACATCATTAACAACAACACAACAGTACAACATGCTGATTTTCATCATGCTAAATTAAAACAGACATGTTATGCAGTAAGTAAACAATATGTATACTCATAATATTTTAATACTAACCAAAGCCAATTTTGAGACGTCCAGAGATAAAATATTCTCACCAAGTGAATCAAAATAGAAGCTTTTACAGACGACATTTTACTACCAACCAGGCAGCTTCTTCAGGACTTTGTGCTTCTTCTTTGTGGTTTAACCTCCGCAGCAGAGTCTGAACACCTGTGAGTCTGAACTCTACATCCAGTGGAAATCACTTTGTGTCACAAACACAAACACAAATCCCTGAAGAAGTTACTTGTTGGTGGTGAAACATCTATAAAATCTCAGTAAATCCAGTTATTTTGATTCCTTTGGTGACAACAATTTATGACTGCAGACCAGGCGTGGGCAAACTTTTTGACTCGTAGGCCACAAAAGGCTCTAAAATTTGACGGAGGGGCCGGACCAGGAGCAGATGGATGGAGTTTTTTGCTAATCCACCTCATAAGAGAAAAAAAAATGCGTGGAATATGATAGAAAACATATCCCATGTTATTGAAATATCCCATAATTAAAAATCATAACAATAACAATCTGTCTTTCAAAGGGCCGGAGATTAAGATTAAAGGGCCGCATATGGCCCCTGGGCCGTAATTTTCCCACCCCTGCTGTAGACAAATATTTTCATTAATATTCATAAAACATTTGTGTGTTCAAAGTATAAGAGTTAGAAAATCCAAATGTCAGAAGCGATGGACAATTTGCACCATCGACGTCTCCCAACACCAACACTTCACATTCATACTGGGCAATGTGGGTGAAGTGTCTTGCCTAAGGACACAACAGCAGTCTCTCCCTCTGGCGCCCTCTTGTGGCATTTGGTATTTCTCTCTAAAATCCGAGTCCTGACCAGAGCGTGTCCAGTTTAGCTTCTGCTGTGTTGCCAGGTCCTCAGTTTTTCCCTCTAAATTGGGATTGGGAGGCTTTGTATGAGCTGCTGTGGGTGAAAAATCTCGCCTGCTGGTTTAGAAAAATCCCGATATTCCAGAATTTTGGTACAAATCTTCGTAGAAAAAGCCACAAATAAGAAACACAAACTTATACAGAGCAAAGCGAACGATGTCCTGTTACTCCTGATTTTACCGTTCAATTGTTAATTACCACGGCAACGGAACAAAACTCTCTGAAACCCACGAGATCTGCAGTAAAATCTTTAATTTACTCTCAGGTGATCGTAAACTTTTTTTTTTTTTTTAACAGTTCGTGTCTGCAAATCTGACACCAGGTCATAAAAAAACAGATTCACGACGATGAATAAAAATATATTTACTCTCTGGACGTGGAGTCTGAGTGAATAAAAGAAACATCACGTCTGATTTTCAACGGTTTTATTGATGTTTGTTTTCTCGAACATCAGAGACTTTCTTTTCTGTCTGGTTTAGGACAAGTTTACGTTAGTCCTGGTCTAGGGTCTCGTTTAGTCCTGGTTTAGCCCTGATTTAGTCCTGGTCTAGGGTCTGGTTTAGACCTGGTTTAGTCCTGGTTTAGACTTGATTTAGTCCTGGTCTAGTCCTGGTTTAGTCCTGGTTTAGTCCTAGTCTAGGGTCTGGTCTAGTCATGGTTTAGTCCTGGTTTAGTCTTGTTTTAGACTTGGTTTAGTCCTGGTTTAGAGTCCTGGTCTAGTCCTGGTCTAGTCATGGTTTAGTCCTGGTTTAGTCCTTGGTTTAGACCTGGTTAGTCCTGGTTTAGTCTTGGTTTAGATCTGGTTTAGTCCTGGTTTAATCCTGGTCTAGGATCTGGTTTAGTCCTGGTCTATGGTCTGGTCTAGTCCTGGTCTAGTCCTGGTTTAGGATCTGGTTTAGTCCTGGTTTAGTCCTGCTTTAGTTCTGGTTTAGTCCTGGTTTAGTCCTGGTTTAGTCTTGGTTTAGTCCTGGTTTAGGGTCTAGTGTAGTCCTGGTTTAGTCCTGGTTTAGAGCTGGTTTGGTCCTGGTTTAGTCTTGGTTTAGTCCTGGTTTAGAGCTGGTTTAGTCCTGGTCTATGGTATGGTCTAGTCCTGGTTTAGTCCTGGTTTAGTTCTGGTTTAGTCTTGGTTTAGTCCTGGTTTAGTCCCTGGTTTAGTCCTACTTTAGATCTGGTTTAGTGCTGGTCTAGGGTCTGGTTTAGTCCCGGTTCAGACCTGGTCTAGGATTTTGATTAGTCCTGGTCTAGTTCTGGTCGAGTTCTGGTCTAGGGTCTGGTTTAGTCCTGGTCTATGGTCTCATCTACTCATGGTTTAGTCCTGGTTAAGTCCTGGTCTAGGATTTTGATTAGTCCTGGTCTAGTTCTGGTCGAGTTCTGGTCTAGGGTCTGGTTTAGTCCTGGTCTATGGTCTCATCTACTCATGGTTTAGTCCTGGTTAAGTCCTGGTCTAGGATTTTGATTAGTCCTGGTCTAGTTCTGGTCGAGTTCTGGTCTAGGGTCTGGTTTAGTCCTGGTCTATGGTCTCATCTAGTCATGGTTTAGTCCTGGTTTAGTCCTGGTCTAGGGTCTCATCTAGTCATGGTTTAGTCCTGGTTTAGTCCTGGTCTAGACTCGCCAGACTTGCTCCTTTAACTTCCGTCCTCCATGAGCTTCATTTGACTTGGATGACGTCACCCTCCCTCAGTCCGCTTCACTCTGTGGTATAAATAACAATAAAACAGTGACCTTTGACCCCACACGCCCCCGTCGCGTCCCGTCTGTGCGGCGTGTGCGCAGACTCAGCAAAAAAAGTAAATAAATAAAAAAAAAAAATCTGAAAATAATAAATAATCCACCCGGGGCCTGTAGAGACACTGTGGAAGTTTACGGTCTGAATCCTGGCTCCTGATTGGCCGGAGTCCTGAATCCTGGCTCCTGATTGGCCGAGGTCGGGTCCCTGCGCTCTCATTCATATTCATGGATCTATAAACCTGTCCGTCCCCGAGGAAGAAGAAGAGGAAGAAGAGGAAAAAGAGGAGGAGGGACAGTAGAGGGCGCTGTGGGTCTGAACATGTCACTCCAGGTTCAGAGACTCAAGATTTTTAGTTTGATCGAAGTAAAAACAAAATGTAAAAAAAAGCAAAACAAAAAGAGACTGAATTAAATGCAATGTTTTTATTGTGCTGAATGTTGTTCCTGAGACTAAAATATCCCACAGTATGGCATTAAAGTATTTTTTTGTAATTCCATACAAAGTGACAGAGTGCAGCTTTAAGGAAATATCAAAACAGAAAATGGATTAATTCTGTATCTGATTGTCCCTAAGAATAATTATTTTATTAATTTTTTTGTAATTTTGTAATTTACTTTTCTTTTTGCTTTTGATTCACGCATGTTAATAATTTTTTACAACCAATTGCAAGAAAAAGTAGGTATAGTAGTATAGTTGTAGGGAGTATTATCTGAAGTTGTTGTACAGTTGTAGGGAGTATTATCTGAAGTTGTTGTACAGTTGTAGGGAGTATTATCTGAAGTTGTTGTACAGTTGTAGGGAGTATTATCTGTTACATAAGGGTGAGTTGTAGGGAGTATTATCTGTGACATAAGGCTGAGTTTTGCACAGTTGTAGGGAGTATTATCTGTTACATAAGGGTGAGTTGTAGGGAGTATTATCTGTCACATAAGGCTGAGTTATTGTACAGTTGTAGGGAGCATTATCTGTTTCATAAGGGTGAGTCGTTGTGCAGTTGTAGGGAGTATTATCTGTTACATAAGGTGAGTTGTAGGGAGTATTATCTGTAACATAAGGCTGAGTTTGGGAGTATATCTGTTGTAGTTGTAGGGAGTATTATCTGTGAGTTATTGTATCTGAAGTTGTTGTACAGTTGTAGGGAGTATTATCTGTTACATAAGGGTGAGTTGTAGGGAGTATTATCTGTGACATAAGGCTGAGTTTTGCACAGTTGTAGGGAGTATTATCTG